ACTACTATACTTTTTCTTTAAAACAAAATTATTTTAACGCGAATTTTAGTGAGGGTTCGGACCTGTCCAGAGCCTCACAGAACATTTGGTTAAAAAATCGAAATATATAAAAAATATTTAACAATGAATGAAATGTTATCAATTTAATACACCTAAGTACTCAATGAAGACTAAACGCAGATAAAAAGAAAAAAATCGCATCTAAAATAGTACAGTAGAAGCCGTTTTTCCGGTTAAGCCTTAACCTCTCCCTCTCCCCCCGCGGGGGAATTTCGAAAAATCCCTTCTTAGTGTGCGTTTTCATGACGTACCCTGTGTACCAAATGTCACCACTTTAAGTTCAGCGGTTTGTTCTGGGCGACGATGAATCAGTCAGTCCGTCCGTTAAGACAAGTAATTTTACATATTTAGATAAATTGTAATTTATTGTTTGATTTAACAATTGTATTAAATTTGACAAATAAAAAATTGCATTATTTGCTATTTCCGACTGGCGTCATCTTAACCCATAAGCACCGTTAATTCCTATGTGATAAATTGGGAGTATCGTTTATTTCACAAAGTTCTTCTGCAATATTTTCTACGTAAATTATTTTCTTAATGAACACGAAACTATTTTCTTTCACGTATGTAGACTAACGAACATCGACTCTGTTAACTTGACAGATTAACGAGTATACACATAAGTAAAGCCGTATTGTTCAAGAATCAACTGCACCTATGTATTTGTTAGGCCATTTTTATGTCTCGACGTTCTGGTAGTTCTAACACTCAATACAGGTACTGTACAGTGTCTAGAATAATATTGCGTCAATTGCTGCTATTCATCCACACTAAAGGAAAGCATAGAAAGGACTATAACAGGAATTATAAATATATTTATTAATTTAAATTATTTAAATGTAGTTTGTTCTGGAAAATATAAAAAAGAAGAAATATTGTCACACTTCGGCGAGATACTCGATATTACTATATCTAATTATATTCAGACATTTAATTCATTTAGAATGGAAAAAGAAATATGAAGTGGAAAATACCGTTAAGTACAATTTCACGTTGGTTTACGTAGATGTAGTTATTTCATAAGTGAGGGAAGAGAGGTGTTCATCATTTTAAAATACAGTACAAGGAATCAAAAAGATTGATGGATTCTGTCCATCCCAAATGAAAGTGAGCTACTTATCGTAGGTATTTGACAATTTTCATATTCGTATAAAAACTTTTCCTAGGAATAATGAGAAATGTATATTTGAATTGTTAACTTCTGTAATTTATATACTTGGAATTTGATGGTATTAAAATCCAAGTATATTGTAAATTGTTTTCTGCTAACATTATTTTATCTTCGATCTCAAATATTACTTCAATGGAAATTAATGTAAATGAAATCGCGAATATAGAGGCTAAATGACATCGAACCTCTATATCATTGTGGTATAGTATTGTATCAGTTTTTCAACATTGATGTTCCTAATATTAGTATATTGTTCAATCGGGGAGAGATCTGGATAGGAACATTGGGGATGATGTCCATACCACTTGACATTTTATTTATTAAAAAAAAATTACATCTCGAGATTTGGTCCTATATGCCCTTACGTTCTAATAGGATGGAAGAGTGTTAAATATGTTATTATTTAATGTGGAAAATACTGCATATAAGGAATTACACTGTAATTACGTAGTTAGTATTTAGAAAATAAACGTTTAGAAACTGTATGTACTCCATAAAACGACCAAAATTTATGTGCATATAAGTTTTTAGTTATTACGTTAGGCTTTCCTCAAGGCTTAATTAATAGTGATCGGCGATGAAATATTGATATTTGCATGACGACTGATGATATACAGCCGTGCAGTTTATGGATATAAATAACGCCGAAGCATACGTGTTAGGTGTTTTGCATTAGAAAACTTAAGTGCAAGCAAACAACAGGTGATGGGAGATACATCCGTTGAACCGGAGAAAAATTCATCAGTGGGAATTCCATAACCACTACGATTCTTTCTTGTTTTAAATTACGTAAAAAGCGTAAAACCCTGGAGTTTGTAAACTTTTAAAGATTGCAAACTCCAAGCTTTATTTATGTTAACTTCTTGCGATTAAGTTTAAGGTAACGCTTACGTAACGCATTATGAATGACTGAATTAAATAACGTAGGTGCACGGTTTTATGTTTATGCTTAATTTTCATTGTGAATAGGCTTTTATTCCNAAACTACTCGGAGTAATAATTAATATTTTCTTCAATATAGGAATTCCTCCATATGGTCCTTGTTTATATAATGTCCTGTAAAAATTTATTTATGTATTAATACACTCCTCAAAAATGGTATCATATCATCATAAAATAATGCCTATAGCCATGTGCACATTGTAGGACTGGTAGAGGTGAAAGAAATATGCAAATGATTAAAAAGACAAAGATATGCAACAGATTCCTGTTTATTCAGTAATGAATATGGTCCCTACAGGCAACAGGCAATGGCCTGTTGCCTGTAGGGACCATATTCATACAGTGAGACATACTATCAATGAGACCATTAATGGTTGCCTGAGGTATCCCTTGCCAAGCTGCATCCACTGCATCATGCATGTCGTCTACGGTATATGGTTGTGGTCCAGGGCCAGTTCTGATAGGTATGCAGTGCATGCATGCATGCATGAAGATGACCAAATTCCTACGGTAGCCAATAGTGCACTTTAAAAAATAACATTCAAATATAATTTATTATTATTTTAATATAGTGACTGACGATGAAATAGATTGATGTTTGCGTAACAACTGATGATATAGCTGTATAGTTTATTGATATAAATAATGCCAAAGCATACATATTAGATGTTTTGCATCAGAAAACTTAAAAGTGCAAAAAACAAGTGATGGGAGATTCATCCATTAAACCAGAGAAAAATTCATCAGTGGGAATTCCATAACCACTATGATTGTTCCTTGTTTTAAATCATGTAAAAAGCATAAAAATTTGGAATTTGCAAACTTTTAAAGTTTGCAAACTGCAAGCTTTATTTATGTTAATGTGTTAGATTAAGTTTAAGGTTTCATTTACATAACTCATTTTGAATGGTTGCATTATATAACGTTGGTACAGTACAAAGTTTTATGTTTATGCGAATGTTAATGTTAACAACTATGTTAATTGTTAATGAAACAAATGGAAATTTAAATAAAGGAAGAGAATATTTAAATTAATAACATGAATGTTATTAATTTAAATATTCATCACATTAAAATTAATTTTCATATACAGATACGTATATATTGTATTTATATAGTAAATAAGGAGTTTCTTTAATTTTGTGTTAATTTAGAAATTCTATTTTATGGCGGCGCTTGTTATCGATTTGAATAAAATTAAATATACATCAATTATTATTATGGGTTCTTCAAAACCTCTGTCAACTATATAAAAAAACTCATAAAACATACCAATACACTCGTGCGTTGGATTAGATTATGAATTTACTGGCGATCATATTAATAGGGGCGGCCAAATATCTGTAGCACGCAGGCGGCTAACTGTCTAAAACCGGCCCTCTTACAGTTTATAAGTTTTAACCCTACTAGAGTTAACTTCTTTAAACGTTTCATTAAAATGTTGCAAAGTCATAGTGATCAATAGTCAAAAACAATTTGTATAACAATTTGTAAAATAGTCAAAAATCAGCAATGAATTCTAACTCATTTTTGCCTATACAAGTCTCAAATGTCTTTATGCTATACCACTATTTTTGCTGTTACAAGATAAAGCAAACATGTGAACATTAGATCACTTCACACTTATTAGTCAATGATCTACAACCAATCCTCTCTTTCTGAGAGAGGACATAGATGAAATAATTTTATACAATTTGACTCTGGAAGTATGAAGCTGAATGAGCAATTAAAAGAAACATATCCTAGAAATTCTGAGTTTGTACTTTAAAATATTGAAATATCTATTATCTTTACCACAAGTGAAATGATATACGAGATTTCACAATGAATGAAATACATTGGGCCTGAAACATTTCTATTCTTTTCATAGATTTTCATCTTTAAAAAGAATAGAAATGTTTCAGGCCCAATGTAAAATTACATTTAAATGATAAAGATCTGAAAATGGTGTTCCAGTGTAACACTATGAGTACTGAGCTCTAGTGATAGATGAAACTTAAGATATGACATTTGTAAAGTCAAATGAGCTAAATGAATTATCAATGAGTCGATTATAAAGTACTAATTCAGCTTAATATGCTCACTCTCTTATGATGACATTTCAAATGAAACAAAATTCATGGAGCATCCAATACTGATGAGATTTTCAGTGACACTGTAAAGAAAACAGCATCTGATGATACTGATGTTTTTAAATTCACTTGAAAGTATAAGTTGTAAATTAAAAAGCTGAATGAAACAAATAACTGCCACATGAAACAATCTGAGAAAAATATTTTGAATAAGACTGCACTAGCAATATTCATAATTTTGATTTTAGAAAAAAACTATTTTGTTGTGAACGAACTGGTCAAAATGTGCAGCGAAACAACAACAATGCCTTCATTCTCATTTAACTTGTTTGACTTTACAAATATACACCTAATTCTCTCTATTTCTGGTATCCTCTTTTGTTTAATCAGCTGAAAAGATCTAACGACGACTTGCGTAACTTTTCCGGCTTTTATGAGATTTAATTTTAAAAATAACATTTGTATTATTAATCAAAATAAATATCTAAAAGTATACCCGGTGCCATCTGTTACAAGGTTTTGTTGTAAAATTTTATATATTTTTAATTATTATAAAATTGCAGGTCTGAAAATGTGGAGATTTGCAAAAAAAAAAACCCTGCGAATCAAATCTAACACGATTCTATTAATTTCCCTTGTTATCAGCCTACATAACAGCCAGGAAAGTAAAAATCAGATAAATCATGTATTATAACTTGATAGCAGTATCCTATAGTGTGTATTTGAAATATTAAGAAAATGAACATCTCCACTTTTTTCAAAAGTTAAGAACAGCACGATTTATTTAATAGAATCAAAGAATGTACAGTAAAGCAGTGGAACAAATTTTGACACAATCAAGCTGATGAGAATATCAAGAATGATTCATGAATACTGTCATATTACCTAATATTTACACATCATCTTGATATTTGTGTTCATGTTGCTATGAAATCGTAGCTATTCAACATGATGAAAAAAGGCTTATTGCTGATTAGTACCAACAAATACAGTCGAAGCTAGACAAATACAGTATATTACAATCTGTGTATAGCTACGCATGAACACTATATGTAACCACACTAGACGACAATTAAGATGCAAATGAGGATGACAATGAAAGATGATGTGATCGTGATGATTGAAACGATGATAGTCAAAAACCACACTCCGTCAAAAGAGAGTGCGTATTATATCTTTAACTGAGATGTTTTGAGTCAGTGATCGAGATGTCTTTGTTTTGTTATTGAAAATACATTTGGTATTTATCAATAAGAAAACAAAATATACTTACTTTGTCCAGCAAAAACTGGAAGTTTAGTTTTACGAACAATTGATGTAGAAAACTCCTTCCTATGTGTGATAAAAATGCCACGTGCACTCTCGAACGATGTGGGAAGTGCCAAAGCGTGTGCTTTCCATCACTGACAGAAGACAATTCCGTGGAAGTCTTTTGTACCACAAGAAATAGAATTTCTTAGTGGATATGTACAAAGAGCAATAATAAATAATTATAAAAAGAAAGCAAAAATACATGTCATTTGGATTTGCACATCAAATAATTGCAGAGTAAAAAAAATTGTTTTGTGATGATTTTTTAAGGGATAATTATTATAAAATCAATGCATAATGGGAATTTGAAGATTTCCGCCAAATCTCCTCTAGATGGTTTTCATAAATATGACAATGCTCGGTGACGAATGCCGGTTGACTTTACAATATGCTTTTGACATTATGACTTGCTCTGTTTAGAACTGATTCCAGTATCTTGGATGTAACCACTTGGCACTCTTGCAACAGACTAGATGATGTCAGAGAACATTAGTTTGCCAACTTGCAAACAGAAACATCCAATATCATTATATTCTAAAGAGACAAGTCACATATCAAAATGATTTGCTTATATATAATTTATCTAGATATACAAAGGGAGTGCCATGGAGTGTTCTCTTTTTCAGTTCCTCTTCTAAATACAGATCACAGCAGAGATTCAATAGTCTAATTTTTCTTCTTCTTGATCAAACACTTTTAATTTTTTGTTAACTATGTTTAAGGCCTGCAAGAAAAAATATCATTCTAATTACTATCTTAAGTATGAAATTAAATACAGAAAAATAAAAATATCTCTTTTATATTATTATTTAAAAAATTCTCCATTAAATTGTTTTAAATTATAGGAAAATACAAATTTCCTAAAAATCTAGAACCCAAATAAAATAATATCCAATTGTTGCTATCCATTTGTTTAATGTTGATACAACCATTGCTGCACAAAAAAAAAAAATTAATATTGTTACAAATATATCACTTCAAAAGAAATTATTATAATAGGTGCACCAAGAAAAAAAACTTAAATTAAAATGATTAACAAGTTTTAAATTTCTCAATTAAACTAGCAGCAGGGCTGTCAAGAGAGAAGCTGGTAATTTTTCCCTGGGCCTAGAGAAAAAGGGGCAAGTAGTGATTCCTACCCATTACCCATTATTTTTAATAAAGCTTTATTATTAAGGAAACATTCAACATACTTTATTTGTTAAACAAGATTGGTCAAGCTGATCTGATAGCATACTCCACAAAAGCAAATCAAATATTAATTTTGTTTAAAATAAATTTTATAAATTCTTGGAATCAAGTAGTTGTTTAGAAGAATTTTTCACTGAATATACAGTAAGAGATGTGGTTTATAGATTCCAGAGGAACTGGGTAGTTTTTACTATAGCTTACAGTGACTGTAAATGAAAATGTTCAGTTCCCTTTTGCGCATGTGCATGGACATGTGCAATGAACGGATTGAACAAAACATAGCTTAGGTAACAAAAGTGAACTGTATCATTGCATATACACATGTACAGTACATGCGCAATAAATGGATTAAATGGAAGCATGACAAAGTACAACTGAATCTATTGGTAAATATTTGCATGCAAAAATTTTGCATATTATACTCTATAAAATAAAAATTGATTTTCAAACTGTTCTTTGTCATTAATAAATCTTTTTGCATGTATTTACTTGATTTTCAAATGATCTCCTGGCAAAACTAATAAATACAATTGCTGTCTCGAATATATAATGTCTGACAGACACACAAAAGTCCTAACATAAGCACTTCACTACTATAGTGGAGCATGCTAAAAAATGGCAAAAGAGGCTTGTTGGGTTGCAATTTAAAAAAATTGTAGATCTATAAATTCCCAATGATGTCTGTCTGTCCTTCCTTAATCTTGAGAATAGTGTTAAACAGATGAGAGTCGAGACCAGATATGAAAAGCTTAGGGGTAGGATGCCCCAATTAGATATACAGTATCCCTCGCATAACATAGTAGTTACATTCTGAAAAAATGCCATGTTATGCAAACCCGTGCAATACAAAACAAAGGATTAATGCAAAATATAGGGTTAGGTTATGGAAGTTAGCAAAAGGATACTATTCTTTTTTCATTACTAAGAGAAATATGTTTATTAAATCAATCGATAATTTATTTCCAGTCAATAATTAATTAACAATCACAATTAAAAGTACTGTATTATGCATTAATATTAATTTTTGTAAAAAGAAAACATCCTTGTTTAACTAAGTTTTGTTGCCATCTCAGCTTTTTTGTTGATCCTGATCAGAAGTATCAGCAACATTTTCATACTTTTTATTTTTATGATAAAAATAAAAATATGTTATTAATTAAAAATTTGTTCTAATGGGTCGCATTTATTCAGTTGAGTACCAAGCAACTTTATTTCCCAGAATTTGTGTTTAAGTACCAAGATACTGCTGTATTTCGTTCATCATTTTATGAATGATTGCTTACCTACAGTTAAAAAAAAGTTTATCATCACTTATCTAAAAATGTTCAAATAAATTTTATTAAATATGAGGATTAATCTATAAAAAGAAAACATACCGAAAGTCTTAATTAAGGGGTTAATTAAGGACTAAAGTCTGAAAGCAACAATGATACCTGGTTGATAGAAAATTTATGTTAAGGAAAAAAAATTGCACTATCAGTTTTCATTAAACTAAACCTGATGAAAAGCACAAAATAATTTGAAATTTCAATATTCTGAAATTTTGGGCAAATTTGAAATGACACATGTACCCGAATTAAAATAACAATAATAATATATCAAATAACAAAGTTTACACTTAAAAAATTGTGAAATTTTGTATGAAGGATTTCCAAAACAGTGTTAAGAGCGAAATTGTGTTGTACAAGGGATATCTGTATGAACTTCTGCTTTGGGCATGAAATCACATTATTTCAATTCAAAAATTTTCTCTTGAATGGAGTTATATAGATGATTGGCACGACTTCACTGTCAACAGGAAAAGTATGATGTACACGGACAACGTGTACATCACATTGTCCGTGTTCACAAACACCTGATATCATAACTTACAACAAAATTCATTGTAAGTTGCTAGATACAAAAAGTGTCATATTCACAAAACACATCATAAGATATGATATTGTAAAAAGTCTGATAACTATTACAATATCTAAGAGCTGCCATAAGTCTACTTACTGGTGGCCGGGTATTTGATTCTATCGATAGATAATTGATTCAATAGTTTTCTGATTATTTCTTCTGAAAATTTTTGATTTGAAACTTGTAAGATGTTATAAAATGATGAAAAAATTGATAGAATTCTTCACGGTGGATAGAATTTATAAAATGTCACCTGAAAAAATCTTATTCATTATAATTTAATGTTATCTTTTTCAGTCATAAACTGTTAATTTGTCAATTTATTTCAAACTTCTTCAATATTTCTATTAATATACTGTAACTACTAGTATCAATTTTGGGTAGAATTAGTTCTACACCTAGATCGGTTACATTTTTAGGTATTATCTATTATACATATAAATAATTAATCTAAAAGTAACTAATTCTTATCCATGTTTTTATTTTTTATTTATTTTAATTGTTTTTGTTTTAAGAGTGTTATTTGTTTTCATGATGTTATTGTAGGGGAAATGAAATGTCTACCATGACTTTTCTTCTAAATGTAATGAAATAAATAAATAAATTTTAATTCTAAAGAAATAAAATGCTACTGGCTTTGATAATGTTTTAGTAAAGCCTACTGGCTTTACTAAAACAAAATCAGTCACTAGTGATGTCATAAGACATACTCGTTACCAATTCTGTCTGTTTTATCATAAGTGCTGCAACGTGTTTTGTGAATACGAAATATAAAATATTATTAGTTTCTCATAACTTTACGATATTGGAGAGATACTGTCATATCTTACGAGATGTTTGTGAATCTAGACCCAAAACACGACTAAACTTAAGTGCAGTGTGATGAAAAATTGCAGCCTGGCATTGTGACAAAATCACAATAAATAATTGCTCATTCTACCTCTAGCAAGCTCTTGACAGCCCAATCAAGCAGCAAAAATTTTGAACAAACTGTGTAAAGTGAATAAACACATTACATTACATGTTTTAATAGATTCATAAAAATTTCAAACAAAAATATCTCCATTCAGTTTCATTGGACAGAGATTTTACTGTATATGAATAAACAAAGTACAATTACAAAATGATAAAAATAGAAAAAATAATTCAACAAAGAAATCAAACTTAAATTACATCTATTACACAAAATTATAAATACTGTAATAATCTATAAATATAATTAAATGCATTCTCATAAAATATGGAAGATATTCTAATAAAATAATTTTGCATTTATACCAGACATTTCATCCATGCTTCTTCAAAAGTATTATGTATAAAATTAATATTTAATTGTTTATAAGACAGAATAGCTAAAATACAGTAGTAATATTTTCAATTATTTGTAACAGACAGCAAAATAATGGAAACATTTTGTGAATGTATTATTAGAGATGAAGTGATTAAGTTTGATGATATAAAACAGATATTTCTTAAAGTTTTGTTTGAATCGCCTACATTTGAGCAGTCTCAAAATTCAAAGTTCAACCTTTTTTTTTTTCACTGAAAAACATGTGACAAGATGCATCTATCTGGATAAGCTTCAAAGCTGACATGACCACAGATGGTAAGCTATAGGTCTTCATCTACTAACAGGATGGTGCAGTGCTACATTTTTCACTGCAACAATTGTGACTTTGTGAACACAGACTACCACACCAATAGATTGACCATGTCAGGTAATAATGATCACCAGCTGCTGCTGTGGTCTCTTTGTCCTAAATTAACTTTGTATGACTTTTTTGTTGGGATATGTAAAGATTCTTTTTGTGCCACTGCCAGAACTAAGAGTTCATGTCAACATTACCTTTACTTGAATTGACAAAGACATGTTGCACTGGATGTGGAATGAACTAGACTACATAGGTGATGTGTGCAGAATCATCAAGGAGACACAAACTGAAAACTTATAAATTAAAAAAGCTGGTGAAATTTTCTACATACAGTGGTGCCTCGTATAAAGTACTTAATCCATTCCAGGTGCACGGCTGTTAAGTGAAAAGTCTGTTATACGAAACGCATTTTCCCATAGAAATACATGTTAAAACATGTAATTTGTTCCTCAGCATAAAATAACTGTACCATAAAAAATGAAAATGGAGCAGTCACCAATTATGCTGGGTAGTCAGATGATGTGAGGAGGAGGTGGAGGAACACTTTCTTTACACATTCATACAGATACAGACTTTTTACACATTGCAGTAGGTCTCTTTTTATTGTTTTTTAATTGGAGTCAGATTTAGAAGAGGCTACTGGAGCTTGCAGGGTCAACTCCTCTTGTTCCATCCTTTGTTTTTTGGCTGCTGGCTTCTTGAAAAACATGTCCAAGGTGGTCTGTTTCTCTCTCTTTTTCAACACCTATCGGAAATGACAGGCAAGGGTGTCATTGTAGAGATCATTGATCCTGTTGGCCTCAGCTGTGTTTGGATAATGAGTGTTGGTAAACTCCTGAACCTCTCCCCATTTGACAAGGAAGTTTTTGTCAACTTTCACTCCTTCTGATGATTTTTTTGCTTTGTTTCAATTGAAATCACCTTTCTGTTTTTTTAGAAGCAATGATTTACACAACACTTGAATAAATGTAAATACCCTGCACTGAGGTGATGTACGTAATAAACAAGGGAGCAAGCCGAATCCCAACGGGAGTTCTGTACTTCAGATATGCTGATAATATATTCTAATAATACTAATATATTATAAAAATAGCAGATTGTCATTGGCAAACGGCAAAAGAGTGGAAACATCATTCGCACCTGTTCGCAGAAAGTCCGTTGTTTGTCTCACGTAACTGCCAAACAGAAAGTCCGTTGTTCACAGCCAGTCCATTGCTCGAGTCACATAATGGCCAAACAGAAAGTATGTTGTTCGAGGCATACGTTATATGAGGCACCACTGTATATGTATGCTGTGATAATTAACCATATAAATAAAAACAAGCATTACCTTGTAAAATTTAAAGGAAATTCTTTTAGTTGTATGAATAAAAATAGAAGCAAAACTTTATACTTATGAGCATAAAGCAAATGCTTTTGAATGAAGGTTTTGCTTTAGTAATAAGTATTCTGTATGAATAAAAGTAAGCATTTATTTCAAATTATAAACATATCCTTCAAAATACATGCATCTAATTAGATATAAACTCAATTGCAAGGAGTGTAGTTTGTTGTCACTTTTATCCAGGTTTATTTTCTTGTTAACATATAACCATGGCTGAATTAATTAATATAAGGAAGGTTAAATATTATAATCTTTGTTCCTCTCCATAAGTCAGTAATTTCAAAGCATTATTTAGGTTTAAAAAAGAAAGTTGAATGGTTGGCACATAATTCATGAAAAGTGAAAATATGCTTCAGATATTTAGCTGATCCTGGATTCCAAAAAAGGTATAGAAGAAGAACTTGGTGTAAAGCAGTCAACAATGTCATGAACTGTGCACAATGTTGTGGAGAAAATAATAGCTCAGGCTGATTGTTGGATAAAATTTCCTACAACAGAATGAAGCAAAATAGCTATGGTAAAACAGATACCACTTTCCAACTGAAATTGGTTTGAGTGACAGCACTCATGTAGGAACAGAAAAACCTAGACTTCATGGCGATGAGTACATTAATAGAAATGAAAAACCCACATTAATTATTAATTTAAGCATAAAAGCTACTTGTGATACGAGATGCATGTTCACTAGCACTGACATTAGTTGGATATCTACACTAGTTAACAAAGGTTAACACACTTATGATTAATATGAATTGAATACAGCTAATAAAATAGAATATAGGGATGAGATTCAATGTGTCATAACCTGCATGACATGAACCTTTTACTCATTTTCCAAAAGTATTTGTTTGGAAGTATAAGGTAATTATTATTCATACCAGAGAAAATGCTTTTGCTTCTACCTTTTGCTCAAAGCATTTATTTCTATCTTATGCTTATTAGGATTTCCTTATTTTTATTCATATGGGCCATTATGTTGAATATAAAGCCTGCAATAATTTAATGAAACTGCTGCAATTATTTGAAGACATCCTCTATCTATATAGCTCCACACACAAATATTGAAAAAATTCTTATTGATTGCACATGACAGTTTGTTAAAAGTCTACAGAAAAATTGCAATATAGTTACATTCAAAAATATAAAGTTATCTAAAAGGAAATTGTTAACATTTATATGAAAAATTCTTTTGATGATAAATTAATTTCTCCTCAGTATGATAATTTTTGTAATTTATAGGAATTTTGCAGCTAATTTTAAACTTTCTAATCAAGTTTGGCAAATGGATTCAAATTAAAAATAAAATTCAATTAATAAAGATAAAGATAAGTGATGTGAGTTCTGAAACTAATTTCATATACTATACATAAACTGAATTTATAAAACAGTATTTTATAAATTTTAAAATATTTCTTCTAATTTTATTTAACGCCTCATAGTCTGAAGTTTCTTAATGAAGTTTTTGATAAAATAAAACAGTAATATAAATATTATAAATTTGTTTAATTAATAAACAAGTGATCAATTTATAAAGTTTAAATATTAAAATCCAGTTATAATAAATTAATATAAACATTATTATTAATCTTAGAATAACATACAACTAGGAGATTATATACACACTTATTACTTATATTATAAATAAAATTTACCTGATTCTGAATCACTGCTATCTGAAGAACTACTTGTGCTGCTGCTACTACTACTATCACTATCACTGGAACTGCTACTACTTGCACTGAGACGACTTGTACCACTAACCACATCAACATGGGAGTTTTCAGATTCTAAAAGTAACATTTTCATTAAGACATTTATTTTATATTTTTTATTATGATTTTATTAAAATAAAAGTATATTTCAACATTTTCCATTCCCCCTATTTTATATCACAATTCCTTACTTTTAGCATCTTAAAATGAAGAAATTTACCGTAAATTTTAATTAAAGATTGACTCTTAATATTAACGAGTTATTAAATATATATAGGTGTCTGTGACAAAAACTACCAATAAGAAAGTTTTGTAATTTCATAATACACTTAAAGCTACCTGTGGTATAAAATTCAGAGGAACTCAACAATATTATGTGCATGTCAATAAATCTCCAAGCAATCTGTACAACACCTTGTAGTGTGACAGATGTTCAGGTAGTATTCAATTTCTCACCAGTTGTTTTATGAAAAGATCTTATATGGTAATTAATGTACCATATTTTATGGCATAAAAGACACATGCTCTTTTCAGCGTAGACTACTTAGGAGAAAAGTATTTAGTGTATTTAATTTAAGCCAATCTGTGCTTTTGGTACTTGAACCTGATGAAGGTTTGTGAAATTCATTAACCAATGAAATATTGCAACTTCACATATAAGACACATGGTGAGTTTTTATCAGCTTCTTTTTTTTTGAATAAAAGTTGTATCTTACGAGTAATAAAAGCTGTATCTCATATATGCCATAAAATAAAGTATATTAAAACTGATATCTTCAATAACTGTAATCAAAATAATTAGTTGTATAAAGAATAACTGAAACATTACCCTTTTTCGTGGGTTTCTTCCCTGATGTTCCGAGCTGGCCACTAACATCTTGTAATCTTTTTTCCAACTCCTGTTTCTTTTCACGGACTTGTTCTTCCTTCGTCTTACCGGTTACTTTTTTGGCTGCTATACGTATAACATCAATAAGATTTAACACAATGTAAAATGTTTTGATCTATGATTTTCATATAAACTTTTTATCTTTTCCTACTTTGTAATGAAAAAAAACTATACTACTTGAACTACTTTATCATTAAAACTAAACATCTTAAAGTATCTTACTATATAGTTTTTAAAAATACTCACCGTATGGTTTTCTAGGTTTTTTCCTTAAACATGATGCAACGTATGCTTCAAGTTCCCTTAATGTAGAAGGCTTTAAGGTTTCAAAATCTATTTCGATTTCATCTGGATTAGAATCTCGAAGTGATGGCTCCCTCGACTGGATAATGTGAACTACTCTTCCTAACTTGTCTCCTACAAAAAACAAACAACAAAAAAAGACAAAAAAAAAAAAAAAAAAAATTTGCTTTCTCAGTTTACACATTACATAATGTAATATATTTTATATTTAAACAAAATACAAGTCAACTCCCTATAACACTGTTGATAATTCCGTTTTATATGAATTCCATGTTGTACGAGCCACTTAGATTTTAGAAATACATGTGCCAGGCTGTGAATGGCTCACGTATTTGTAAAATCTAAGTGACTCATACAACATGGAATTCATATAAAACGGAATTATCAACAGTGTTATAGGGGGGTCAACTGTAAATCCAAATTCTGTTTTTACTTGGTCTGGAGAAGAAATTCAGTTCTTTTTTACACAATTTGTTTTGAACTAATCTATTGCAATAAATCTCCATTTTATTTTGTTTCTAAGAAAAAATATTCTTATTTCATTTTCTAGAATTTTGCTCTTTTTAAAAAGAAATTCTTAGAATTTTATGTTTGAGACTGCTTTGAACTATGAAGGAGTCAATTCCAACCTGTTCTGTTTTGTTTGGGGATTAGTTTTAGATCATTATTCTATTTATTTTGGGGCATTTTATTTTGTTGACAATAGACTACCACACCTCACCTGGGTAAAATCCTAAAACATAATACTCACCTGACTACAACAACTGCTGGCAGCACCAATTTGTCATCGAACCCAGAAATAACATCTTGGGGAGACTTCAACTGAAAGTTAAAAGAATAATCTGCCCCAAATTGTCACCAAAATCCATGCAGAAAATTATAAGATTAATGTAAGGGCAACGACACAATAGAAAGACAAGATTACTGAAATTTAAAGAAATGTTAAGTGACTTAAGTACATAAATAAGATCAAGTGGGCATCAAGTATTCATATAACATCACCACAACCGCACTATAAGAAGGAGGTGAAGCTAGAAATCGAGTGAGGTTTAAAGAAATGCTTTTCAAGTTTCATTGATGATGTAGAATCTTTATCTGGATTTAGGATGGAAAAACAGGTGTGGAAAATTTCATTTGGAAAACTGTCCAACTGTACCAAACCTAGAAACCATATGCACAAGATAAAGAATTGATTCATTGCCTGCCCAATTGCCAATTAATTTACGGGAACACCTGGAAGTAAGACATTACTGTTCTATTAACAAACTGGTATGAACAGCAAAAGAGTACGAGTTCTGGTAACAAACAACAGAACCTCAAAACCTGACACTGACTGTGACACCAAATAAGACAAGCCCACAATCTTCTCAAAACATAAGTCCTAACTAAACAAGTAATCCCAATAATTTTGCTTGTAGATGTTACTTTTGCAGAGAAACTGGCTATTTCTCCAAAATGTGTCCAAATAATCAACCTGCAAATGTCAAAGTGATCCAACAAACAAGACAACCGAACATGATACCGACCCTGGTTTATGTAACAAACCATTAGGCGATTTATCTGGGCTCTCAATAAGAAGTTATAAGATGTTACAGCACATTCAAGTAAATTTTAAGATTTGGCTGCTTTTATAACTTCTTTGAACACTTGTAGCAACAATGGGTTCATCTAGGCAGCATACAGCTATGTAAACAAACTAATGGCATGATCTATTTCATACAAAACAGATTATATCATTGGTTTGCTTAGTGCTTGCCCAATTGATTTTTCCTTCCAACTTTATTCTGTAATTGAAGGAGTCAGAATAAATTTCATTCAAAGTTTGATGATTTGTCTGAGTTTACGACTGAGTTTCTTCCTATTCCTTTCAATACAGAATAGTTTTCATATGCTATTTGGTGTTAAAAGCTTGAGTTATTTTAGTGTTTAACTGAAAAGGTCAAATAAAAAGTAAAATTGAACAAAAAATATTAAATTCTGCCAATTAACTGAACTGAATTTATTAACTAAAACTGAAATATTTAAGCATATCTTAATATATTAATTGGTTTATTCTATTACTATTACTATAGTACAATAGAGTCCCGAAAACTCAGCACTTGATAACCCGGCCACACCCTGGCAGGGCAAAAAAACCCTTAGTTAATTAATTTTCATTATAGACAGCTTTATGCCTCAAAGTATTTTTCTGAGGTCTGTCTTATCAGGTAAATTACTGTACACAGTGTATTCATTAATTTAATTTTCATTTTCATGTAGTAAAGGCTCTATGCCTTCATAAAGTACGTACTTTCCTTTGTTTAAGGGTATTTGGGCAGTTTATTCTCTGTTGTATTCTCAAGCAAACAATACATACAAGTACAATATAGTATTTTCTGAGGAAATACTCGTACTTACATTTTTTAACCCCATTCCCGATAACCTGGCATTTTCACAAACTCAGCCATCCTTCAGTCCACATTAGGCTGAGTATTCGGGACTCTACTGTACTACTAATTTTTAAAGTTTGAAACCAATCTTCCATTTTATCATAAAGACACCATGTGTTTTTTTTCAGTAATGTAATTACCATGTAAAAACAGAATAGGATGTATATAAATGTTAAACATGATATATAATTAATTTTTATTTGTATTTCAAACAACAACAAAAAACAATTAAGGAAAAAATCTATTTATTTAATGTTTAGTTTCATTCAATTTTTCACACAATATTTCTAAAAAAATACTGCCATATTTTAAAAAGTTAGTAAAATATTACTGTAACTAATGTTAGTATTAGTACTTAACATGTTCAAACATTCAACTATCTGGAATTCAACATTTTTTAAAATCAAGCAATCTGATCTATTAGTCAAAAGTAATTTTGTTATATATAAGTAAATGATGATAAAACAATTTATACTTGAATTAATGGGGATGAGAATCCTAATGGAAGAGATAAGCTTGAAGCAGAGCAGCCAGCATAACACATTATTATAATACATTACAGAAAAAACAAGATAATGACAGTCAGATCATAATGTTGTTAAGTCATTAAAAGTAGTATTCTTAGACAAATAATATTTCAAAGTTCACACCAATTATACATACAGTAGAACCTCAATTATTCGGACTAATTGGGGATGAAGGTAGTCCGGATAAGGAAAAATCCGGATAATCGAAACAAATACTTTAATTTGTCTTTTAATGATAATACAACACGTTTTCTTTTCGATGATATATCAGTAATATTAAAAATAAATACTGTATTTAAATTGTGATCAAATTTTCAAGAAACAAACGTTCGTATTGAATTTGGTCTGCTACTGACCAGCGCTAACAGACTAGCTATTGTTTAAAAGGCCCTCTGAAGGCTCAAGAAGACGGATTTTATAAAATAAAAAGCAGTTGAAACAGCTTTTTATGAATAAAAATTTGACAAACCATTTATCATTTTATGAGGAGTAAAATTTTTTCGTCACGTTCTCAGCTTTTAAATAATGCATAAACCTTTGAGGCCCTTCGGACCGCGAGGCATAGGCAGTGGCCCACGTTGCCCATGCCTTATGCCGCCCTTGGCCACAGAAATGATGTCATTTGAATATAAATTATTTATAAATACGTATGTCAAGTTATAATTTTATTACGACGCAAAATATATTTAAGAGTTTACAGCCACTCTGCTGGGTGAGACGTTGTTGAAATTAAAAAAAATTATGCATTCCATCACGTACATAAACAGTATCATAATTCGCCAAGTGCAAATCAGCAAATTTGTAAAATTTTTGTTTATTTTGAACAATCCGGATAATCGAAAATCTGGATAATACAGGTCCGGATAATCAAGGTTCTACTGTATTACTAGATAAACACACATTATCAGATGGTGTTAAAATCTTTTTTATAACACAAGTACAGTGGATGATCAGTTAACAAACATAATTCGTTCCAAGACTCTGTTTGCTATCCAAATTGTTCATTAATTGATTATCAATCTACCATAGATTTTTATGGACATTTGATTAATCCGTTCTGGAGACCCCTAAAAATAAAAAAATTATATACTTTCTTACTACGTTTATTTATATGTAATAAACCAGTAAGTGATTGACACTAAAATTCATATACAGATTTTGTGAAGGAATTCACACTTAAAAAAATAAATAAATAAAAATAAAAGACTTCTGCCAGGAGGCCTTAGAGGGAAAAATTAAACAACAAAGACAAATCTTAAAGTGGCATTTTAATCTGCTATTTTAAACATTATGATTAAAGACAGTGAAAATAATGGCATTTAAGGCACTGCAAGAAAGAAAGTTGTAAAACACAATGTTCATTGCCTTCAAATTTTATACCTGAACAATGAGGCACACACTGAGCAACATTCCTTACATCAGTAAACAGCCTGTGCAGAAGGTATGTCTTTTTAGGTACAAATAAATATGTTTTTGTTGTATTTTTGTAGGATGCAGTCTGGACATTTTAGAAAAAAGGTAAAAACTATAGGGCCTGACACACTAGGTGATTTTTGTGGGAGACATGTCACTCCTGTTGCTCACTGTAACCAATGAGCAGACATAGATTTATCACATGAGTACAACTCTTTTTTATAACACTAAAATAAAAATGGAGAACAGTTCCTCATTGATGGTTGACAGGACATTATGTTTAATTTCATTAATTCAATCATAATGGCATAACCACACTATTAATGAATATCACGACAAGGTACACAAAGATACATGCTTTTGTGCTGATAGTGAAAATTTATGATTACTGAGTAGAAATGTCGATCATCTGACTCCAGCAACTTGTCTCCTTGTGTGTCCGAACATCGCCAAACTCAACAGGTTTTTGTCACTCAGAGATATGTCTCTGGGGTGAGAAATTGCCTAGTATGTCATGGCCTTATATAGGGAAAAAAATTTCAGTGATAAAAAGTGACAGGGAATGGAGGAAAGAAAAGACTCATGTGTAAGTATGAACAGCAAAATTATGATTGTGATGAGTGCCAAAGACAGTCTTAATCAATCATCTATGTTGATTGTCATAATCCAAAAGAACCAAATTAAGAATGAATAAAAAGTAATCAAGCATTCTAAGGGGCTAATTAAAAGCAATCACCTCATATAA